CAGACAAATGCAGTGCAAGTTTCAAAGACTCGGGGGAGCAAACATTTCGACAGATTCTGGATCTGCTTACAAAGTATGACGAGCTGAAGTTTAACCGGATTGCAAAACTTCAGGCACTCGACTCTGTTACAGATTCTCGTCTAAATGTAAGCAAATGAGAAAGTCACATTAACGACTGAAATGTTTCAGCCACTCGAGCATTTCGTCGGTGTCGTAATAACGAACATCTTTGCCACCAAAGGTAACTTTACGATTCCTCGTAACTTCGGAGACCCTGGGCGGATTGGCATGGTTGATATACTCGAGAAGGAGTTTTAAGTTAATATTACTACGAGACACCTTGAGCTTCTGCGCGATCTCCCCCACGCTGAGCCCCTCCTGCTGCCACTTGCCAAACATTTCGAGCTTGAACGCTCTATCATCTCTCATCTTCGATATGATTTTCGACGCAAAAATGTTTTCCTCCAAGCCGAGAATTTGCCTAAGGCTGATCGTTCTCACTTCGTCGAGATCTTTGTCGCCTTTTGTCTCCGTAGTAGCACCGTGAGCTCGAAGAAACCTTGTGGTTTGGATTTCCCCAGAGACGTTGGCCGCAAGGAGCGCTCCCCAAGATGCACATGTAGCGCAGACGCATGATTGGCGAAACTCCAGCCTGCTTTGTGTTTATTAATTAAAGTATTGCGAAGCTCTCCAGCATGACTGCTGAAATAAATCGCTGAGAGGCCGACTACAGTAAAATACCTCATCGTTGCAGATTACTGGGATGAATTGGCCTGAGGCGTGGAGTGATCGCGATCACTGATCGTGAACAAGCCACAGCAACAGAATAGCTACATTGATGTTTGCTACTTTCATTATGTGTAGCACATCACATATGCTCGGCATACTGTAGTCTCAATTTACTGCAATGGGCCTACGCGGCCTCGTGGACTCGCCAATGGACCAGAGCGAGAACCTGGAGCTGCTCGCTCGCATCGAGCGCCAACTACGTGTGAATCCTGTTAGCGGCAACATGAACGTGAAGGAAATCGACGTCTTCGTGGACGACTGGGCGCCGCCGTCCACGCAGACATCGCGCGAACTCTGGACTTTAGTATTGGACGTGGTCTTCGCTCCATTATGGCTACGCATCCGCGCAGCAGAATTGCTAAACGTTTGCTGTGACATGGTCGAATCAGACTCAGACGGGATTGTCAAAATTAATACCCAAGAGACGCACAAACTCCGCGCCATTGTGAGCTCCACGTGCCAGGCACTGGAGGAACTCGACGCCACAGACGCCAAGCAAGCCGAGCAGCTCTTTACGTGGTTCGGCTTCCTCGAGAGATTGCTATTGGCTACACATAGCGACGTCTGCGTCCAGGTCTTCCAGAACAGTATGTACGCAGGCATGTTGACCAAGATGCTGCGGTTATTGTCAGCCTGTTCTACGAAGGTTTTTGCAGCGACGACAGTGTGTCTGGGGCTCTTCCACGATCACGAGAAGAAATGTGGTCACTCGATGCTGGTCGGTGAGGTATTGAGAGATATGAAGGATGGCAGGGAACATCTAAGCGGGGCACTGCTGCACGTCATCAACTCGTGCGGATGTCCGTGTCCGATAGAGAGGACTGTTCATTTGTGGAACGCACTGCAGGTAGAGAAAGAGATTTTTGTAGTAGATTGTGTAGTTACTTACTTTTTTCATGCGAATTTGCTAGTTGTTTGGTGACATTCTGGCGGACGAGACGGCTTCGGCGTTGGTGTTTGTGAATGACTTCAAGGTGCTGATCGACCTCGTGATCAGAGAATGTACTGATCTTCCGCAGGAGGACGCTACACGACTGCATTATATGGAGCTGCTGGAACGTATTCTGGGCTCGCAGCTTTATCTTCAGACACAGATGTATCGCAAACGTGAACTGTGGAGCTTGTTGGAGTCGCTGTTGGAGGCTGGAGCCCAGGAGGATTCGGTCATGCCGAAGGATGTCATGGATAGGATCAAGCAGATTCTGGTGAAATACATTGATCTCCTGGATTGAAGAAGTATCGGTGCCCTGAGTGACACGATATACGACGACTATCTGGATGCTTTGTTTAGAGCTTGTACGAGATAAATTTTTGTAACAATGAAGACAACATGTGAGAAGTACTGAATGATTCACTGCCTACTGGGAAACTCAGGGATTCAAATTCATGTAATGGCATTCGCTTGCACGAAGCCAAGAGCCTTGTGGTGATGTTAAATTCGAGCATCCAGTCGTCATTGCTGACTATGTCTGATGAAGAAAGATCGTGAATTCAATTGCAATTCTTATCATTCATATCTGTTGGTTAATGTGACGATTTTTCGTCTTTGGAAGCAATTTAGAAGAAATTCAGTTGCAGAATGTACATGTATCACAATAAAAGAAATAATCGGCTCGCGCAGCGTCTGTCAGCGAAATGTTGGTCTAGTGCATTGAGATTACGCCGTCTCCGAACAAAGAAAGAATTTCCCACAGGTCAGAGAAGCAAGACTGTTGTCTTAGTAGTTTACGCGACGCCAAACATCTGAGAATCCAAATGTCTGCAAACAAAATTGCGTCAGAAATCAAATTATACGAGTGCCGTTGTAGCACAGGGTCTCATTTCGGAACACTCCACACGACCCCCACAGTCATTCGCGATACTTCCAGTAACATGGACAAGATGACCAAGACTATCTATCCCAAGAAGATAGAGCTGCGATTTTTCGAGCGTACAGTCACGATGGTTGACGACATCTCCATGAAGATCGTGCACTCGATGCTCGTGGCTGGCGACACAAAACCGTTGTTACGATTGTTGCCGCTTGCTCTCGCACGAACTTTCAACATGCATCCACGTATGCGAGCTGTGCAAGTCAAAACCAAAGATTTCACCGCAGAAATTCAAGGACCGGTGACTCTCGAAGACATTGGCACGAAGAATCTTCTTCGCATTCAACAATTCTCCTCAACTAAAGACACGTTCGAGAACTGGCAGCGGTATGCTACAGACGAGTGCAACATCGCGTTCGACCGGTACACGCAGTTGCCGTTCTTCCTCACTGTATGGGTCAATGATTCAGCGAATCAAGCACGTCTCATGCTCTTCTCAGACCACTACATGTCTGACGGGTACTCGGGAATGATAGTGCTGAACTCCATTCTGGAGCAAGTCGCTGGTTTATCGAAGAAAGGAACCGATGAACAACTGAAACAAGTCCAAGTGAAAGAATTCCCACTGCGAGCTTCGTTCTACGAGAACTACTTGTCCGACATGTGGATGTTCAAACCAATCGTGAAAGGCTTCGTTTCGCTGTTCGGAAAGACGATCTACCGTCACGTGGTGGACAACTTCAAGCCTGTTTTACCAGCTCGGAGTGACCAGCATGACTTTGTCGTTCCACTCGTCGCAAACTCGACGTCCGCGTGTTTTGCAGAGGGGGATCCAGACTGCATGCGCAAGACTCTTGCCAGATGCAAAGCTGAAGATGTCACCTTTGCTGGAGCGCTGGTGAGTGCAGTAGTAGTGGCATTCTACCAAGCGGCAAAAAACGAACCTGACTTTGACCCAGAGCAGCCATTCAAGTTTATGGTCGATTTGGACTACAATATGCGGAAACGTGTGCCCAAAGTTGCTGAAGAAGACCACGTCGGTGCATTCATAGCTTTCGCTGATCTGGAATGGCTCGCGAATGAAGGTGTCGACACGAAAACGACGTCGTTCTGGGACCTCGCTCGTCGCAGCAAGAGAGTGATCGATGAGAATCTTGACCACAAGAAGATGATGGCAACTGTGACGGTCATAGTGGACAAGTTCATCAACGCGAAGACGGGGCTTTCGTTTGCAGAGGATGTCCGAATGCCAAACTCGCTGAATTCTGATGCCAACATTTCCAATGTGGGGAGGTATCCCTATGCACGGGATTTCTCTCTGACATCGGATAGTAAGCTGACAGTCAAAAGTCTGCACGTGTACAACCCGATTCCACACTTGGCTCCTTCGGCAATTTTCTTCGTGTCGTCTGTGGAATCGTTTTGCTACTCTATGGGCCACAAGTGCGAGGACGAAATAGGTAGAAATCTCTTTTCGGCGTGGGTTGCAGTGTGCGAGAACATGGGAAACATCGGGGCGAACGATACGCTGGCGGATGTGCTGCAGCAGCTTCAGTTGTAAGGAGAAAGCACTTGGAAGGAAATGAAACACATTTGTAACTTTCCGACACAAACTTTTCACGGAACTTTTTTGTTGCCTGCAACTTTAACTTTTCCGTCCGGTGGACCACTCCAAATCGTACCTAATCGCCCCATTCTGGTGGTCTTTCAAAATTCATCGCACTTAGCCGAACACCTGGGGAAAAGGTCGATATTTGCGGCTCTGAACGCTCCCAAGAATCGACATGGTCGTGGCTAGTGGTCGTCACTCGGCGCTCGCTCTGGGCGGGCGTCTGATCCAGCGTCAGTCGGTTGCGCTCACCAAGACGACGCAGACGCGCTCGTTCTACACGGTGTTTGAGAAGTATCTGGAGGCGAACAAGCGCTACGGCTGGAAGGGCACGTTATGGAAACTGTACAACCCAGGTGACGTCAAGTTCGGACGCTTCGTGGGCGAGGATGAGAACGGATTCAAGTACTATGAGGACCCTACCGAAGTCTACGGACAGCACCGCTGGACTGAGTACAAGGTGGACTCGTGGGATGAGGTGGAAGGTACGCTTATCTCTCCCCAATGGCACCTGTGGATGCACCACGTGACGGACTCGATCCCTGGCGAGGGCGGCCAGCTCCCGGAGAACTGGGAGAAGCGCGAGACTGTGGCGCACTCGGACGCACCCTTCGTTAACCACCTGGGCAAGAACGTGCCGTACTACCCCAACAAGACGCTCTACCGTTCGCGTGGTTACAACGTGGGAAGTCTGGCCATCAATGCCGACGAGCCTGACCAGTACTACCTGCAGCCCGGACACCTGCGCCGCACACGTAAGCGCAAGGCGCACTACTTTGCCGACGTGGACTACAACAACCCGGAGAACTCGGATGAAAGCTTCGTGGATTCGCTGCGTCCCGCCGACATCAACTAAAGTGCCGGAAAGAGACAGGAGACAGCATAAAAGGCAATGAAATGATGAAAAACAAGAGAAAAGCAGTTGCAGGTGCCTTCCAAACATCAATAACGCAAGCTTTCGCTTCATTTATTATGCCGCCTGACCATTGTCCAGCCCCTTTTGCATCCAAAAAAAATCATTAAGTAGTCCGACGAAGAAGCCGTGCACTTGAAGCACAAGCGCACGGCTCAATACATACACTTGCGAGTCGTCCAATTCATCTCTTGGATCTAAATGGCAATCTCGCTGCAGCCGTCCTTGGCCTCCAGGTTCAACGCGATGAGCGAACCTGAACGTGTCGTGTTCGCGCTGTCTGAAGACTCGGTCGACGCACGTTCGGACGACATATCCTCGCCGTAGTCGCTGTCGTCGGCACTGGAAAGCTGTTGCAGCAAGGGCATTGAAGACACGTACGCCGAGCCACGAGCTGATGTGGCCACGCTGTCTCTGGTAGACGTAGACGAGATCGACGACTCGGACAGGAACGAAGCCGTCGACATGGCGTTCGGGTCTTCCACTGAGCTCCGCGTGGACGCAGACGCCGACATCTTCTCTCCTGCCAAGTTGGGGATCGTGTCATACACAGATCCTGTCCGTTTGCCACGGGCCACAGGCGAGTCCGGACCCATGCTTTCCTCCGATGCACGGACAATGGTCGGCGCCGGTCGAGGTGCCGGAGCAGGTGCCGGTCGGGTCGGAAGTGGAGCCAAGAAGCTGTGGTTGTCGTTGTCCGGTCCCATACTGATGTTCATTTCGTTCTGACTGGTAGCGCTCTGTGTGAAGTCTGCGTGCATCGTCTGGGGCGTTTGGTTGTGTGCGTTCATGTCCACTTGTCCGTGTGCATTTGTGGCCGTCACCAACTCCGCGTACTCATCAGGAGCCGAGAGTTTGCGGCCTCGTGTCTGGTTGCTCGGTCCACGGCCACTTGCTGTGGCGCCGTTGCCGATAAGACCCGTTAGATGGAACGTCGTGCTGTCATTACTGCGTGCCGATGACATGTTGGGGTTGGCATTGCCGTTCTCCTCCGACTCCCGGTACTGGTACGAATAGCTGGCCATCTTGCGATTGCTGAACGTGGGGCTGACGCCTCCTCTCGTGTTGAATACGCTACTGTCTGTACTACTGGCAAGGCTGGGGTTGTACGGCTGGCTGGTGGCGCTAGACCTCGTGGAGCTGGCATAACTCATGTCGAAGCCCTTAGACATGCCTAACTCTCCCGGTGTGAGTTCGATGGACATCTCCGGCAAGCCCAGCTCCTGTTCCTTCTTGAATCCTCGACCTGCCGGCACTGCCAGACATGTGGCTCCTGCTGGAGGAGAAGACGCGGACTCGCGTTCCTTCTGGGCGCGTTTCCTGCGTGATCTCAGGAACAACAAGGCGGCGATTACAAGTGCCAAGACACCCAATGCGATGCCGATAGAGAGACCGGCACCGCCGCCTCCACTGTCGTCACTGTCTTCGGTCGTGCCTTTTGTCGCTGTATCGCCTGCACCTGTAGAGGAAGAATCAGCTGGAGAAGGGGCCGTCGTGGCCGGCGCAGTGGTGACCGGGCTTGTCGTCTCCGGTGTGTCTGTGGCCGGAGACGCATCGTTAGAGGACGAAGACGCACTGTGAGACGCTGAAGCGGACGAAGAAGCCGTCGCGGAAGCAGTCGAAGGTGCTGAAGTCCTCGTTGCTGAGGTGGACGAAGTGGTGGTGGACGAGGTGGTGGCGGTGGACGGGGTGGTGGACGTCGTTGAGGACGTCGAGGATCCCCCCGTGGTGACGGAGTTGAGGAGACTATTGACCAGGTCGTCGGTGGACACGTCGGCCACCGTCCTCATGGCTTGGTAGTGGCGCTATGCTATTGCACTGCCGGCCTGTTCCAATGTCGCCAAATGCCGCGAATGAAAGGAGTCAGTTGTCCAGAGGAGCCCGGGCCGATCTGGCGTTTACTGAGGGCAAGTGTTTCAGCCGTTATATAGATGCGACATCGACTGACAGAAAAGAGTCGGAAAAGGTAGGGCAACCGCAAAGTGCCGATAGAGGAAGGCTCCGATATGGCGGCACCACTACACGGCTGGCGCAGTGACGTCCAAGTTCTTGTTCTGGTGGAACGATGCGATCCGACACGGCGGTGATGCGACGCTGAGCTGGCAAAATAGTGCAGTGTACAGTACGCGCATGTACGTTGTAGTCTTACGTGTGTGAGCGGGTAGGAGCGCTGCAAACACACATGGCAGCCATGTCTGGACAGGAGTGAGGGATCCGATGAGTCCGCCTTGTTGTTGTCGTTGACAGCACGCCCAGAAACAGTCACACGCTCGGCAGTTCATCGCTATGACGAACATTGTATCCATCGGCGCCGTGTTTTATTAGATTGCCTTCTCCACTATTACCACAGGAAGCTCGGCAAAAATTTACCTACTCTACATCATGCACTGCAGTATAATAGAAAACCATTGCCGTACACGATTTGCATAGCGCAACACTCAGCATTGGAGCTTATCGAGCTCGTCGGCATGAGTGATAACGGTGAAGATAGGACGTCCTTTGCTTGTCGTGGTGAGCTGTGATTTCCAACTGAGTAAAATGTCAATCCTCTTGTTGCCTTTCACTTCAACGAGTAGTACATGTATTTGTTGAGTCATGTGGGTTCCTCAAGTCCTCATGCATGCATTACCCCCACAAGTCCTGAGAAGGGCTTCTACAAAACTTATCACTACTTTTACAAGTCCTGCAGAAGCGTGAAAGACAAAATAAATTTATATTGAACTGACGACGTGCTCTTTCTTTTGTTATTGCCTTGTGTACGCGTTTCGCAGCTCAGATCGCCCGGAAGTCCTTAAACTTGTTTTCAATGTCCTCCTTCAATTCCGGGTCCACCGCGTTGCGTACACCGATGAGCGCCTTTGCCACAGCCTCGGAAGCGCCAATCATGGGGCGCAACACCGCCACGGGCACGGCACGGATCACCGAGCGCACGTATCCCTGCGATCCCGTCTTCTTGTACTCAACGAGCGGTACAGCCACAATAGTCTTAGCAGCCACATGCAGCTCGCGTGCCAGCGAGTCGTAGGCCTGTCCGAAGCCCTCGGCAGCGCTCGCCGGTTGCTGAGTCAGATACTGCCGGCCTCCGATGCCTCCACCGGCGTCTTGAGCGTTACGGATGCCGCCGCCGCCCATCCGTCTCGAGTTCCGTGCGATGCGACTGCCAGCCTGTCGATACTTGAGCTGCTTGCGACGTAGAGCAGACGACGAGGACACCACATCATCCGCATGTTCCAGCAACGCCTGCGTGCCCTGCGCCACCTTGGACGCCGTGTTGAGCGTCTCGATCGTCACCGACTTGAGGAAACTCGATGCTCCCTTCTTGATACCACGCACAAGACGTCGGTCACGTCCGTAGTGCTCCATCGGGAGTAGAATCAAGTCTGCTGCACCGGCGCCAATGTTGACGAACGGACGGAGCGGAGGCATCGACACACTCGCCACGCACTTGTGGATCTGCCGGCGTGAAATATCCTGCACCCACGATACCAGAACGTTCTCTCCTAGTGCAGCCCAGCCGTCCAGTCCGCTCATCTGCACACGTCGAAGCACCAGCTCCATACCTTCGAGCACGAATAAGTTAATCACTTCTAAGTAGTCGCCAGCACGCAATGCCGCGTAGTCGACGTGGTTGGGTCGGTAGTCGATCTTGATCTTGCACGGCTTGATATCGATACTCTGGAAGAACCAGGCTCCTAGACTCACGTTGGCCTCAACAGAGGCACTCTCTCCAATGGGCTTCATCTCCATCCCTCCTTCGTGCATCGTTATCTCCACTTCATCGTCAGTCTCATCCCTCATCTGTCGCGACAGACGCGTCTTAGGTGTCGGAGTCTCCTCCGTAGGCACGAACTGACGTAAGAACTTGACAACCTCCTGGTCTAGATTGATCCTCAATGGCAGTAAACGAGCCTTGAGACGATGCTCCTCGCACAGATTAGGGCCCGGTCGTACCGTGATCAACTGCAGTCGCACCATCGAGCTGCCGCTTTCGCGTGGATGAGTCGCCTCGGACTTCCAGTAGCAGATAATCTTACGGATCTGGGAGGTAGAGATATAGTCCAGCAGCTCCACATCGCCCAATGCCAGCACCGTATGTGATGCCAACGACTGCGTCTCGGCTTCATTGAACATATCCAGACGCAGCTGGATGCGCGTCACCACGAGCTCCAGCATCTCCTCAGTCTTGCGTCCACTTTTCTTCAACGAACGCTTGCGAGACGGCGTGCTGTCACTTGACGTTGCTCTTGTCGTCCTGGTGGCTGGGTCGCGCTTCATGAACGAGGTAGTGGGCGCACTCTTTGCAGTAGTAAACAGAGAACTGTCGTTTCCAAAGAGATCTCCACCATCTGACGGCACGTAGTTGTCCAACAGAGCGTCCAATAGTTTCTCCTTCTTCGCTGTAGCACTGTCAGGTTGTTTCCCCTTTAAGTTCTCTTCCACGTGGCTCTCCTTGGGAGGGTGGAGTCTTACAGCCTCACTCGCATCGCGCGTCCAGTCGCAGCCACCGAAGAACCGCATGCAAATATTAAAGTTACGCAGTAGAACATGTTGAACGACAATCGGTGGCGTCGCCTCCACTTTGCGTACTGCGCTCTCCCGTGCGATGGATCGAATAGCATCTTCGCACTCCTTTTCACCGAATGATAGCGATGTGGCCGAGCCTCCGACTGGGATTTCGACGTGATGCGGGTATATCCGGGACGGTGGACCAGTCATAGGAGGCCCGCCGTCATCGGATCGTTGGTCGTCGTAGAACCAGCGTGCTGTCGGCTGATCAGGTGGAGACACTGTGGGCATACCAAACGAGGACGACGGAGCACCGGGGTGGCTACTGGTTGATGAGAATGACGCCTGTCGTGTTGGAATAGCGCGTGGAGACGACGTCACGGAAGGATTTTGTCGCTGTTCTTCATCGTTATCTTCGTCATCCAGATCTTCTTCGTTATTCGCCTCCATGTCGAGTATCTGATTGAATCGTGACTGGAGATCACCGTCAAGTCCAAAATCCAGTTCGATCTCCTTGCCTTGGTCCTCCCCGACATCAATAATCGACATGGACATTGTATTGGGGAACACAGAGTTGCCGTTCGCGTCGTCCATTCCTGCCTCGCTGAAGGTTTGGTGAGCCACACTTCGGTCTTCCATTAAATCCATTCGATGCGAGAAGGAAGACGCGGTCTCTTCAGTCTGGAGATCGCTAAGCTCCACTTCGTCCGGCATGTTTTGCATCCCCCACCAGTTCTTCGATGCAGCTGGAAAGGCGCCCATGGAGAAGTGGTTTGCATCGAAGTCGTCCACTTCATCTTCGTCTTCGAGATCGTACGCGTTGTCGCTGCTGTAGTCTATGGTTGCCTGTCCTACACTAGGCGCCACACTCGCAGGTGGAGCTGGAGCCTTCTCTTCCACCGGCTCGAACATAGGAAAGTCTCCACCGACGCTCCTAGGTGTTCCATTACCAGCGTCGCTAGTTCCCCCAGGCCCAAGCCACCGCGCTGCTTGTTCGTTATACGGCATTGCTGTCTTGTCAGGAGAAGAGCCCATAACAGGTGAGTTTGTAGGGACTGAGGAGAACCACGGGTCCTCTCCTTTTGTGTTCACTGGAGCCTGGTCGTGATTATGCTCTGGTTCCATCAAGAACGCGCCAGCCGTCTCGTCTTCTAGTCCGTCGAACGATCGATTCTGAGAGTAATAGTCTTCAATGACAAGCTCATTAATGCGAACTGGCTTTGCCGACTTGCGTCTTTCCTCTCGCTGATACCTCAGTCGCAGCTCCGATGCAGATAGCTGGTCGTCGTGCTCAAGGCCATGCACCATACGCTCCTTCTCTCTCTGAATCGAGTCCATGCGAGTACGTAACAAGCGAGCTTCTGTATCCGTAGCAACAGTTTTCCCCGGGAATATCTTCTTGCCACCACCAAAAGCGTCTTCATCAATCTGTTCAAGGATATTAATCATGCCTCGACTGGAGCCATTATCGTCGAGCGAAAAACGTTCACTTCGGACACTGCTAGTACTGGAAAATTCTTGTGCTGAAGCCTCAGAAGCAGTACCGATCGTCCGCATGCCAGCAGGAGCTGGACTCAAGTTCGTGACAACTGACACACTGGACGGGTCGCTCTCTCCATCCAGACCCACGTACGCAGTAGTATCACGTGGTTCCTGTTCGATCGCGAGCTGGTCGGTCCACACAGACAACAACTCGATCAACGTGTTAAAGGAATCAAAGCACGCGTAGATATTAGCCGTACCAAGATTCAATTCCACCGACAACTCCGGTGATGCTGCTGCTGCTGACGCCTTCTCTTCGAGCTGACCTCGTGTTGCAGATGCGACCTCAAGTGCCGTCGGTAGGACCAGCACTCGCAGGAAAACATCCACAAAATCCATCGTAACAATCTGCAAGAAGCCGAACTTCTCCAAGAACGTAAGCAACGAAGGATACTCTGTGTCCAAACTCCCACCGCTAGTTGCAAACTTGAGACTTTTCTTCTTGTTCTTGGCGTCACCCCGGAGGAACAGGTCATTGCCCAACAGAACCTCGTCGATTTCCTCGTATCCAGCACGTGCTTGCGTCAAGAAGAGCTCCAAATCACCCACAGAGATCTTGTAGCCCTGCATGACGGCACCCGTGACGACATTCGAAGACACACTTACCTTGCCCAGCACGAGAATCACACGTGACGTCAAAGTGAGTGGCGCGTAATCGACTAGAACGTCGTAGAAATTGACGAACAGCTTCGTGAACACAGTCTTTGGAGCTGTAGCCAGTGGTACAGCATCGTAATTCCCTCCACGTTTGACGGTCTCAAAGAGCTTCGTACTCTCCTCATCCGACATAGTGGCTGAGTCCAGCGGGATGATCGGGACGGGGTATTCCATCAGCACCATATCCAGCATCTGAAACAGCCACTTAGAACGCACGTCGTAGCGCAAACTGAGGTGCGAGAGGTGCAGTTCCACCTTCATCTCACGCATCTCGTTCGTCTGGTCAGCAATATCAACGCCCATGAAGAAGATCGGAGCTTTAGAGACGCCGAAAGGTGTCTTGTAGAGGATCGGTACAATGGTATTTGTGCGACCATCTTCTTCCAGTAACGTAGTGTTCTGGGCGAGTACATGAACGCGAGAGACCAGTTGCCCCATCCACTGAGAAACCTGGAACACCTTCAGTGTCTGGAAGGCGAAGTGATACGTGAATAGAACCTTCTCGAACTCATCTATTGTCTTGTCTTCGGTTCCATGTACTGCAGACGTGTTTGTACCTTGAGAGGGAGGCAGGGAAACGTAGTCACATACCCGGACGGTTCCTTCGCCCAACTTGAGATTCATACTCATGTAGCTGGGCATCAATCGATTCCGAAGCGCAGCGGCGGCAAAAATTTGGTTGTAGCTGTCGACATCGATAGGATTGATCATCAAAAGCGCGTCAAACAGCACCATCAACCTGTCCAATGAGGACTTGAACAAAACTGCGTTGGCACGGGGAAATCCGATTTCCACGGAGTAGAGCGAAGCTGCTGCTGCTGCGCACTCGTACGACTCTGCACGCCCCAAAGCATCCAGATTCCAGCCATTCAGTCCCACTCTCCCTCCATCATTGTCGTCACCAGTAACATCGTCAGGAGAGCTACCAACAGACGCACCGTCGGGGCTTTGGCTGGCATCTTGTGATAAATTCTGCTTGCTAGCAATAGCCTCCTTCATTTCTTCACGCGATGGCGTTTGAAGACGCAACCGAAGCGTACAAACGTCACCCGATCGCTCGTCACTGCAGGCTGTGATAAGCACCGCTTTCTCCAGTCGAGAGCCGCGTTGATTGCCATTTTCTGGAGTCAATAGTGACACCTTCGCATTGTCGAAAGAAACGTCAAACTCTGTCAACCACGGCAGCGACGTTGTCTTCCTGTACTGAGGCGGCATAGGTGTCCGTGCTTCAGCGGTCTCATCGTCTTCACGCAGAGAATACGACGCCACTTTGACACTCTCCAACGTCAGCAGAAGTCTATCTTCACATAGACCACGCTTGGACGACGGACCAAAGCGAATCAGGTCGCTGTTGACCATAGGAAAGCGCAGCGTCATCTGCACACACTCCGTTGTCATGTCGAACGTCTTGGGGAACTCCTTGGCGTCAGGTGCCGTTGACGCTGCCTTTCGCTTTGCTACCGACGTATCTTCTTCCAGGAGAGCTAGAAGACGATGAGCTCTGTCTAGCAGATACATATCCCATTCAATAAGAACGGGCTGAACGTTTACTCGCACTCCAAGTGATGAAATAGTTGACGGAGTCCCATCATCCGATCCAGGCGTAAAGTCGATACGCAGCTGAGCAGATACATTGGCTGATAAATTCACTCTGCGACCGGAAACTGGCGACGTGTCAGTAAATCTCAACACACACGTAGACAACATGGCCGATTCGTCCTCTTCGGCATCCAACGACATGCGCGGAAGCGTCTTTTCCGTAATAGTGAACTTCCCAATGGTGAATGCAAGTAATGAATACTGGGAATACGCCAAGCTCGAGAAAATAATGTCCTTCAACAGGAGTTCCAAGCGCTCAAGACCGTCAACCGATGGTAGGGGCTTTGTGGGCCTCACAGGAGCGCGGAGGAAACGGCTATCAGTCATCGAGCCTTCGTCCTCTCTTTCACTCAGTGAATCTCCGTCTCCTTCTTCCTCCTCTTCGTTGTCAGGGAGATCATCATACAGAAGGACACACTCGCACTCCAGCAGATGAACTTTAACCCGCGATTGCACTCGACGTGCCGCTCGATTCTGCGCTATCGTGGACCATGTTAACTGGCTTCGGTCATCACGCCTGCTTTCCGTCTCGTTCTCGTCAAAGCCGTATCTCGCCGACGCATACATGGATTGACCTAATTTACTGGAACTTGCAAGCGATCCACCTGGAGCGATGGAGCTTGCGAGTCCTGTTTCACACTCGAAAAACCCGTCCTCCTCGTCTTCTAAGTCCGACAAACCAATGCTCTCGACACTTTCTGCTGCCGAGAGCTTCCGCGTCTTGGACAGTAGATGTCTATCACCCGCTGCCGTTTCCTCTTCAGTTGAACTACACCGCCGTTGTGCAGTTTTCAGGTCATCTTGGGTCTGTCGATACTGCAAAAGTAGCTGTTCAATGCGCTGGAATTCCTTAAATGATAAGTTGAGCGCTCCTCCGACTTCACCGTCCTCGCCGTCATCACTCCCAGTCATCCATGCAGGTCGGTCATCGCAAATCGACTGGAACATCGCTGTGGACATATAACGATCATCGAAATGGTGGGCATTCAGCTTCGCAGGGTCCGTCGAGAACGCATCCACAATTTTTCCAAGTTCTGGGAAATATTGAGGCTGTAATACGATGCGAATCGAGTGGAAGAAAACATCTGCGTCCATCGCTGGTGCCTCTAGTGCCTCGTAATGGGACAGCTTGACCTTAATGTAGTTCTCCTTATTCGGGTCACTCGCCAGGAACGGATGCAGCACCATGTCGCTGTATTCCGTGCGTCGTCGCTCCGTCCATCGATCTTCCTCGTCTTCTTCCTCACTGCTCAGGTGTAAATCCATACTGATACCGCGAAACTTTATACCCTTCTGAGAGATACCGAACAGCGTACTGGCCGCCATGGACTGCACTCCTCCGCCCATCGTCTGAGACCCATACATTCCTGCAGAGTGGTCCAAGCTACTTCGTCCGTAGACACTCTGCACGTCCGCCGCCGACTCGTCTGTAAACTGCGCCCACTGCAGCTTACACAGCAACGCCACATCTCGTCCATTGTGCTGCTCTCCGGTCTCCAGTCTCAGACAAATATTCGACAATGTGACTTTGATCTTGGACGTGACCTGCTCGATCCAGCTGGCCACAAAGTCGAGTCCTTCCTGCGAGATCTCGTCCACTGGCTCAGGCGTCATGGGCTTCTTCTCTTCATTCTCTTCTTTCTGCTCCTTCTCTTCTGGTTCTGTGCAGCTCTGTCTTGTCTGGGCCTCGTCCTTCTCCAATGGCACCAGAATGATCTCGATATCGTCAATCTCCACCAAGCAGCTCTCGCTCATGATGTTGGCGTACGAGATAGCCACTCGAACAGACCCCAGATAGCCCTTTTTGACCTTAAAAGGCAGTCCTTGGGCCTCACAGAGCTCGGCATTCAGTACCTCGGCATTGAGCAGCAGATCGCATAACTCTAGTCGCCCAGAGCGAAGATGTACGTCTAATTGGTCCAAATCCAGCTCGTCTGCCGCCAAGAAGCGGCCGATCATGCGCTTGAGCACGAACTTGTACAGCCGCTTGAGCGCTGGGTCCGTCAACTGCTTGAAGAACTGCATCGCGGAATTTTCACTGTCAAATACGCGTAATTACGGCTTCAAGCCTGGAATTGAGAGTGCTGACAGCGACGAAATAGGACTGTGAAGCTAAGAATAGACGTAATCGTGAGTGCAAGTTACTCCTGCAAGTTTAAAACAATGCCGTCATCTCTGGAGCGCAGAGAAGCGGGAGTGAGGTGGAGACGAGTTTACCTGCTTGCTGGCGCTATCGGGATCTGATCGTGGCGCCCACAGAAGCTGCTTGTGCCGCGTCTTGCCGACTGCCCGCCTCCGCCTTCGCGGCCAGTTTTGGGTTGTTCTCGCTGCCTAATTTGAAGAAGAACAAGGGGTGGGTTTTCAACCAATAGGAAGGAAATTTATAGGTCGCCTGTCCACGATTGGCAAAAAAGAGCGTTTCCAGCGTCACACTGAACGTTAGTCGCGACTTGCGAGAATGTAGGGCATTTTTCTCCATGGCGATGTATGGTTGAAGTTTTACCGGTGTTTCCCCATCGTTATTTGGCAAGAGAAGACGGACTTACTAGGACATAGGAAGAAGAAGGCCATAAAGTAATTGAATCGAGCTGGTTGAGTTTGGGTTTATCAGAATTATCAGATGAACTTCAACATGGAATAAAGCTGTTAAATCGGACAAGTTCAAAACTCGGAAGCCTGACATTTCATTGTAATCCAAGTGCAACGAGCGCACTCACTACTGTCAACCGCTGGCCGTCATATCCTCCAACACGCACAGGCTGATGGTCCTTCCTCGCGATTATTTTGAGAACGTGAGAATGCAGAAGCGCATCTCTTTCGCATCGCTTGCAGAGACTTGTCAATCCCGCGAGGCAGTCCTTGCACCACACGCCTCGTCGTACCACCTTCCAGAGCAACGAGGTGCATCTTTAGTAAAGTCAGTCATATAGTGTGAAAATTCATCTTCCTCACTGCATCTGGTGGCATCGCCTTGCGCTGCTCCTCGTGAAAACGGCATTTGGTGCACTCAGTATAATTCGCGATGATATAGTTGGGACATCCATAATCGTTCATTGAACAGTGTGGGCCCATCTTGCTGCTCTCGTTCATAACTGCTTTGATCAGCTTGTGCAACTTGCCAGGTTTCAACAGGGGAGAAATCCGACAGCATTATCCCTTTCCAACTTTACCCCACGTAAAGAGTTAATTCACCAGTTGGGCACGAGATGTGTTTACTACGGTCTTGCAACTGCGTCTTCAGCTCACCGACGGTAGTGTATTCTTAAACGTTGATGACATAGGCTGCACTCACACCTCTCACCTCACAACGCGTTGTGCCTGGTTCTGTATGAAAGCAACGACAGATCAAGACCAAAAGATTCTTAGAAAAATATGCTGGAGCACTTCCTGGAAAGAACTATCCATATATTGTTTTTGTGTTATTTAATAAAAAGTCGACCACTGTAGCAGTGAGAGGTGCAGGAGTAGCACAGATTCTGGAAAGATTCTCCTGAGGCATTACTTTACGATAACTGGATAGAAGCACTTCTTCGCTTTTCACGAGCTCGCCTTGGTCTTCAGTCCCGAGCTGCCCAGGAACGAGTCCAAAGTGGCGTGGATCTCATCGTGGTGCGGTAGCTTCTTCATGCGTTTCATCCAGGAGGAAAGTTTGGGGTACTTGGAGTAGTCGAAGATGCCCATGAGTTCAATCTGCACGAACTCGCAATAGGCAGCAAAGTCCGCAACAGTCGGGTGGTCCGTCTCGGCCACAAAGTCCTTCACCAGAAATTCCTCCATGAGCTCCGCCAGTTTGGTGAGGAGAGCAGGCGTGTCCTTCACGCACACAGCCTCCTCCGGTGTCGCAATGTTCTGCTTGGTGTGCATGATCGGCACCAGCACTTTGGACGTGATGAGACGCGCGTTCGTGTGGTGCCAGTGCAAGTACTGGTTTACCTTAGCGTGGGCCTGCACGTCGGTCGGGTACAGATCCGGCCAGCCGAACTTCTCGGCCAGGTAAGGCATGATAGCGTTGCCCTCAAATAGCGAGAACTCTCCATCTTGCAGAACTGGGATGAGACCGTTAGGGTTCATCGCCAAGAACTCGGGCGACTTGAAAGTGGGGCTGCCAAAGTCCGTCATCACCAGCTCGTGGTCCTGCTTCTTGAGTCGCAGGACCCATTCCGCCGCGCGACTCGGCTGGCTGATTAGATTTGCATACAGTTTGATAGTCATTCTGGAGATCGAGGTTATTCGCCTTGAGGACTCGGAGAAGAATGAATTCTTTCGATCAGTCACTTCAACATGCTTTCTACCGCTTAAGTACGATTTTGATTGACAAACCATTAGACAGATATATTACCTGCAACTTACAGGATATAAGTAATTTATTTACAAACTTACAGCGTGGTGTGTAGCCCATGGCGGATCTACCGACGCGGCGGCACTCAAACTCGTTCTGGTCCGAGCCAGCGTCCGTCTCGAGACTCGCAGTACTGCTGCTTAATGCGTCACACGACTCGTGGTGCGTCACTGAGCAGGGCGTGGGTTTGAACAGCTCCGAGCTCTTCTGGAATTTGTGGAGCAATGCGCAGCTCAGCGTGTGTGCCGATGGAGGCGCTAACAGACTGTACGATCGCAGCGTGGAGCTTGAAGTGCAGCACCGAGTGGCCCCACATTTTATCAAAGGAGATCTGGACTCACTACGTGCCGATGTGCGCGAGTTCTTCATCACTAAAGGGACGACAGTGCTGAGAGACCCTGATCAGAACTCGAACGACCTGGACAAGTGTCTGCAACTGATCTACCAGGAGCAGGAGAAGAAGGACGAGAAGTTCTCCGTCATGATCTTCGGCGCCATGGGCGGGCGGTTTGACCAGGAGATGCAGAATATCAACGCGCTCTTCAGATGGAAGGACAAGTTCCAGCAGATGGTGTTGCTGTCGGACGAGACCACCGCCAGACTGCTAGAGCCCAATGTTCGACATGTGATTACACCTAATTTCCACTTTGAAACGCGGACGTGTGGATTGATCCCTCTGGCGGGGGCGTGTAAGGAGACGACGACGTCGGGATTGAAGTGGAATTTGAGTCCAGGAATGGAGACAGGCTTCGGTGGGCTCATTAGCAGCTCCAATCACGTGGATGATGCATGTGATCAAGTGGAGGTGGTGGCGTCAGACCCACTTATCTGGACTACAGAGCTCAAGAAGTAGAGACGATGGAGCCACGACTAGGCTGAAAGCATGTTTGCCTTTTATAACATTTATATAAGTATGCAATACTTGTGGAGTTGAGTGCAACAGTACGCTCTATAGTTTTGGTTTCCTACGACTCGCGTACTTCGCACGTGATTGCTCCACAGAGTAATACTTAATTACGGGAGCTGATCTCACACAACAATATCAATTTCTAATTGGATTTAGAAACCCATTTGCGTGGTCCACCTCAATTAGGCTAGAAAAGATACCAGCGATAATGACTGGTTGTGAACAAAACGGTTGCCGACAATCGCCTCCCAGTTGTCATTCCGATTTCTGCACCGCCGCCGAGAGGACCGAACACCTTTGTGTATTTATCGCTGGGAATGCAATGATGATCCAACCTTTATTTTCAGACTAGAGTTTCTGAATCCGGGGGGTAGTAGCCCTGGTTGTTGAGAATTTTACTCCGAGCATTCCCACTGCCAGCTAAATTTGTCGACACGCGTTAGACTTTTGCGTTTGAGGAAAGGAATGATGATTTTTATTTTCTGTCAACCATCTTTCGGGGCTGATATCTTCCAAGTATTTGATGCATAACTAGAAATACTGACCTTTCCTCCATCAAAACATTGTGCTCCTTCATCCGTTGTCGCTAATGTACACGTCTCGTTGTCCGCTACGGCAAATCCGCCGCCTTCTGTACGTTGACGCGGTCGAGGCGACAGCAGCCGAGCACCTGCTCGGGTAATTCCTCCTCTGTCTCGCCCTGGATCACGAAGGCGACGTCGATCACCAGACGCGAAGTCTTGTCGATCAGCGAGTGGATACCGCGACGCGCAATGTACGAGAACGCGTGGACGTCCACAACAATCTCCGTGGTGCCGTCCTTAAAGTGGTAAATGCGATGCTGGGGTCGTGTGAGCACCGGCGTCGCGTTGTGGCTCACGAGCAGCTTCTTGGCCATACCCGTGATGCCACATTCGTCTTGATTGGTCACTTGCGCGATGACTTTGAAGCGATCGGTCAGTGACGTGTCGTCGCCAGCCTCCAAGAACCGCTTGAAGAGCTTCAGAGTTGTCGTCGTCGGGTTCTTTAACTCCTGTAAACATGAGAACAAGCCATGGTTGTTATCGATAGTTTCAGCATATTTCTGCATAGACACCACTTTACCTCGGCGATTTCGTCTGGAATCTTCCAGTAGAGAGCCAAGCTGTAGCCTGGACCATCGTAGGAGCCATCTCCCCACACGCTCGGGCCATACGACGGGAGCTACGCAAAGCAACGTTAACTCACCACTTTACTCAAACTTGAGATAGGTTAGTTAACCTTTACCTGAGCGTTGATGATGAAGAGCCGACTGTTTTCATGTTCGGGTGGAAATTCCACGCGCTGCGAGATGAGATCCACTTTACTCTCCGTTCGAACGAGATCAGCACCAATAAACTCGAAAAGTGCTGGCTTGGAAGGCTACAAGAACAAGCACATTAAGTTTAAAACAAAAAATTACAACATAATCGTATGAACACACCTCTTTCTTCCGCGATTTCTTGTAGTCGGAGCTGCGAACAGTGAAAGTTTCAGCATTTGTGGTCGTCCACGAATGTTCCACGTTACTCGACCGCCCATTTGCTTGCATCTCGCATTGCGTCATGGTGCTGCCCATTGGGAACTTGACAAAGCGTCGATTGCCGGCTCCACTGCAACGTCGTCTAGTCTCGCCTGTTCCTTCTGCACAGTTATTCTCATTGCCGTCTGCGTCTGCTCCCGTCGGACTCGACGCCTTGTGCAGACAACAATTCTCTGGATTACTGCATTGTGCGATGTCCGTCTCAAGTAAAGCCGTATCGATGCCGCCTTTCAAGTCTGAGAAGCTTCCTCCCATGCTTCCGTGACGAAGACGCTGCACTGGTCTCGGGTTGTAAATACTGGTGATGAACATCCCCGAGACAGCGAGACAGACGAACAATTTCCACAGCACATGCTCGCTTGCAAGGCATCGAATGGCCACGATGTTCAGCATAAAGCCGACGATTAGACACTGTTTGGTGCCGTCCACATGAATGTGAAGATGCCAACAAGAAGCGTCCGGCACTCCACTGTCTGGTCCAGAGGAGAATTGAGTCACGATTCGAGGAGGAATCTTTCGCTTTGGGTGCGATAAAGGAGAAAAATCACTTGGGGCTGGAGTGTTCTGCTCCTCATTGTGAAGAGCTGGAGAGACTCGTCCGAGCGTTGGAGGTGGGGAGTCATGGTCATTGTCAACCGCAGCTTCAGGAGTGCTCTCTGCTTCACGCTGCTGAGACGCTTGCTCCTCCATTTGCTTCTGGAGACGCTGGCGATAAAGCTGTTGATGGGAGAGCACGGGAGCGCCACTATTCGCTTTTTCATTGTGCGAGTCTTTCCGGTTAATGGCCTCGGCTATCGCAGAAGTCCAGAGATCGAAATCTGTCTCGGTGTCTGCACACAACTGAGCATGTCACAATGTGTTAACCTCAACACCAACAACTAAGAGACTTGAATTTCGTCTCGTACCTTGTATTGGACACCTCGTTTCGAGTCAATATCGTGCAGAGAGAGCGTTGAGACCTGGAAGAAATAGCGAGTCGGGGCATTCCTTGCGAGGTTTTTCTCGAACAACAGCGACACGTTGTCCATGTTTAAATCCAACGCGCCGCGATACCATGGATGTGCTTCATTCAGGTACAGCAGCGTTTGTTGCTCCGGTGTTGGGTCTTGCTCTGGCTTCATCAGTTCATCGATAGTTGCGGCATTTCGGACGATTGACTCGGCTTCTTTCGCTTCTTTCGATCCACTTAGACGTCCAGTACTGTCACTGTTGTCTACCTCACCGTGGGTGGGAGACCCAAACGACTGTCTTTTCGTCTCAGTTTGTTGGCTAGAGGTGCTGATACCTTTGCCCATCGGGACTGGGGAGTCTGCCATGTGAACGATATTGCCTTGCGATGAAGACGTTGGCATGTGGTTGGCTGGGTTGTGTCGGTAGTAGGAGAGCACACCACGCTGACGATCCAGCACGAACCATCTTCGATGCCACGATCGCTTCTTGCCCCATTTACTGTCACTGATCTTGTGTAAGTATCCGCAAACATACTTCTTCGTGCTTTGAGACTCGGATGAGAAGGAATAGCCTGCAGATAGCAACTCAACTGCTGCGGGATCATCGCTATGGTGATCTCCAGACTGTTGATTGCTACCTTGGGACTTGCCGACGTGTAGAATACTCCGACCCACATGACCGACTTTCGAGATACCGCCACCGACAGCTTTGCCCATGTATCTCCCCATCTTCTGGACGCCACGCGAACGAGAGACTCCAGTTCGACCGCCTCGTCTTGGTGCTGCAGAGTCATGAGGTGGGTACACTGGATCTCGAACAGATACCGGTAACGACGCCGGGTCTGCACGCTGTCCACTTTGACTCACATCACTTGTACGCTCCGTGTTGTCCTCCTGTACTGCGCCAGCCTCCTTCAAGATGCTCGTCAGTTCATCGTTCCCGTTCAACGAACTGGAGCTATCGCGATAGGAACTTTGAGACATCTCCATCTCGGTAAGATGGTCCGAGTCGTAAAGCCCATCCGAGTCTTCATCACCGCTGTCTTCGCCGCCAATAAAGTCGAAAGAACTTCTAAACGGGTTCCGGTTTGGGTCGTTTCGACAAGACGGACTGTTGTTCAAGGGATCTCTGAAATATACATGCGCTCTGTTAGTAAAATAATCCGACTATAAACAGGATAAAATCTTACGAGTTAGCCAAAAACTCTTCGCTTGTGCGAATAGAGCTGATGGGGCTTCCTGGTTGTGGAGAAGGTGGGAGATGAACGGCAAGGAACTGCATCATAACGTATTAGAGTTAACTGAACCAGCATCACCAAGAGCGCTCACCTCCATGACGTCTGGATATTGGCGCACCCATGTGATAAACTGCGAGTTTGACAGCAGTCCCGCCATCGGAATCATACATTCTTCAAACGCAGCGTAGAGTTGTTTGGGCACCGGCATGTACTCCTCCAGGTAGTTTAGCAAATACAGATAATCCTTCTCCGCAATGAATCCGTCTTCATTGTTGGTGCTAGCAACAAACAACACAGTTAGTCTAACAATCTTATGCCACCCTATAAGCCACAGCAACGTACTTCTCCCCTGAGAAAATGATGTTGTACATGTTGAAGATGTAGCTGATCCGGTCCTCTGTATTGCCTCTGTGCACCGCAACACAACAACATAAAAAAATCAGTATCTTATCCCAACCAAACATTAAGAGCTCCCCACGAACTCGTAGAACAATGCCAAGATGCAGACGAATGCCTCCTTAGGAATGGTATCCCCCGGCATCACCTCGAAGCACTGCATTGTTGTTTCTATCGACAGCCAAGCACACCGATTAGCCACCATATTATATCCCTATTGCTGTCTCCAAATAGCTGCTTACCGCCGAAGAGTCCGCGGAGTAGCTTGGACGACAGTAGCCCCTCCTTCTTGGCTACATAGCGCTGCTCCTCGTCCTCCACGGCATCGCCCTGCAATAGACAGCATAACAGGTCAGCTAATTAACATCATACAATGATGTACGGCATTGTATCGCACCTTAAACGTGAGCCATGCGACTGTGAACTCGCCGGCGTTAACTGTACATCCAGATAGCCAGGTTAAACTTAGTGAATTGGCCTTGTTCAAGGGCTCTGCCGGTCGTATGGCGTTCTCCTTGTAGACGCAGAGCTGGAGATGCAGAGAAAGCGAACAGAAAGCCACGTACACGGTCGATAGAGCCGACGCTGCTTGGAAGGCGACGCTCCCATGACGACTGTTACAAACTGGGCTCAATTAGGCTCAAGTACGTTGCGCGTTGTGTTCAGCTTACATAAATAAGTGTAACCACATCGTGAACTGTACAAGTGTTCAGCTTACTGAAATGAAGTACAAACGGATACTTACGAACACCTTTAAGTATACAGATCAGTTGTGGTGCTAACAATTCGGATGTAGCTTTCGGTCACAATGCGACGTGGTGCAGCGTGCAGGCGTGGACATGTACTTGAGCTTCGATGCTGGACGCCAAGCAGCTATGATCAATTGATCGCCGCAGTTGCAATAGGCAGCGCGCTCGGAGCAGCTTCAATAGCGGTGAAGAAGCAACATCACGATCGTTTTCTTGTTCCTGCACCTCGTCGCTACAGTCGTCAAGCAGATGCTGCGGCACCGTGAACTCATGCAGCGCGATTTCCATCTGCTGTGGTCTGTGAGCCAGATGACAACATTGTCAGCAAGAGAGAAGCTACAAATTTGTGCCAATTGAACGAACGGGAACGTACAATAGAGCCGCAGTCTGCAACAAGAAGAGCGGACACATGGCGAGGCAGTTCTCCTGCTCGCTCCACTCATCTACAGCTTTATCACTGTCCACCAGCATGTCGTATACGCACGGGTAGCACAGTAATAAGCCTGCTAATGCAGTCGCATTAAATGTCGACGGTCGCTTCAGCTCCAGCACTTGAGAGGCTGAAGACAACAATTCCTTGCAAGCTTGGATAGTCCACACAGCAAACGCGTGCAGTCGCAAAGCTTCAGCCTCGGAGTTATTGCTAATGCGTTTAGGCCGATCGAGGGTGATGCTGACGTCCACATACATCTGATACTGCAGCCCCGTCGCCATCTTCTCGCGAATGAATGCGTCCACGTTCACGAAGAAGACATTACCGTTCAACAGCACCGCACGGACTCGGCCGGCTTCGAGCCATTGACGATACAACTCGTGTTCGTCTGCTAGACAGCTCAGTAAGAGCCCAGCCTGCTCCTTCGTCAACGCACAGCAGTCCACCAGACACGACGGTCGCAGTCCAGACGCCACGAGAAGTAGATTGCGTAGCAGCACGCGCACTTGAGCCGCACTCAGTCTCAGCTGATTCCTCTTCTTGCGGACGTCGCTGCGCCCACCTTTTGCCAGTCTAGCATGAAGACGTTGCGCTAAAGCGTTGAGCTCCTCGTCCACCGGCCACGAACGAGCTGAACCAGCACTTCGACACGAGCGATAGAGCCACCAGGACGTTCTGGACAAGTTGCACTGGTCTGGCGATGCTATGAACGCGCGGATCTCCCGCTGGAAGCCCAGCAACACGCTCAGTACCTTCGCGTCATTCGGATAACCGCTCATCGATCGGAGACCAACCAGCAGCAGTACCGTAGACATCAAGGACGCGTGCGTGGCAGTCCCGTTTCTGTTAAAGTAGTCAGGCCATAAAAAGAGATCACCTGGCAATGCGGTCTCCACATCCCTCCCTACCGCTCCTGGTCATTCCTAGATTGTCCTGGAGCGAGAAGCAATGACACCTCCTGTTAGAACAGAGAATGGTAAAGTGAGAGTTCAGCTCCGTGGCTTTGAGAGGGTGTACACGGCGGTGGATGAATCGTCAACGAAAGTGGCGCACGTGATGGTTGTCAAGGGCCCTGTACGCATTCTAGTGCAGCACCTTCCCACTGCATTGATGCACACGTTCAACTTGCATCCGAGAATGCGAGCGCTGCAGGTACAAGGCGCTTTCCATGAAGCGGAGATCCAGCCGCTGATCACAGTCATTGACGTCGCTACTCGTCGGTTGCTGCGTGTTCGATCAACGGACAAAGCAGAAGAACAAACAGGAGCTTGGAAACGCCACGTGCAGGAAGAGTGTGAGAAGTTCGTGAACCGCTACGAGGAGTTTGCGTCATTCCTGGAAATCTGGATCAATGAATCGAACGACATGGCCAGACTCTTCCTGTTCTCTGACCACTACATGTGCGACGGCACTTCAGGTGTGACGATTCTCAATGACACTTTGAAGCACGTAGCGCTACTCGCCAGCGAGGAGAAAATCGAGCCGAAACAACATCCTGTTCGTGCGTCTCCCTACAACCTCTGGCTGGACAACTACACCTTTACGACGCCACTCACGAAGATGACTGTGAGGCTGCTATCCCCTGTGATTAAGAGCATCCTTACATCTCACACAAAGCCGCTACTACCTGCACGTTCGGACCAAGCAGACTTGGTGTACCCCTTTACGAACAATCCCAGTTACGCGCTGTTCGAGGCGGGGGCCCCGCAGACTATGAAGAAGGTGCTTCAGCGCTGCAAACAGGAGGGAGTCACGTACTCGGGAGCCCTCACTGCTGCGGTCATCTTGGCTTACTACTATGCCTCCCAAAAGCACCATTCAACGGCGCTCACTGAGAGTTTCAAAGTCACTCTTACGATGAGTACGAATCTGCGGTCCCGATTGCCGACACCGGTCCCTGAAGATGTCGTAGGCAGCTACGCGTCGTTGGTGCCTTTAGACAGTGTGAAAAGCCTCGGGACTGTGTTCGCCTCTGTCAAATTCTGGGACGTTGCACGCTCCTGCAAACAGGACATTAAGAATGGGCTGAAATCTCCTGCGGTGGCCTTCACGGACATCTTTATGGACCAGAATTTTAACTCAGCGTCTGTGTCCACAGCATTTTCGAAGCATGTGATCAAGAACTCGTGCAGTGGAGACGTTAACATCTCCAATATCGGTCGGTATCCGTATCCAACGAGCCACACGCTTGGTGACGCTGGAGAGCTTTCGGTTGAGAATCTGTTTCTGTATGAGTCTGTGCCGTTCTTCTCCATGGGGGCTCTAATGTACGTGTCGACGGTGAAGAGTTTCAACTACTCCATGCTTCACAAGTATGAGGACAAGGACGCCAAGCGGCTGTTCAAAGCGTATGTGACTTTCGGTGAGCACATTGGTGATGTTGACGAGAATTCCACCATGGCTAACGTATTTGCCCAAGTTGAGAGTAAACTAGGATCTCCTGCATCTTACTAGCACGTTAATTGAAAAAAAAAGTTTCTAAAACATATCGGGGGATATATTTTGCCTTAACTTTTGAGTGTTTGACTCGTATGCTTTAGTCGCGATTCGTTCTTAGGTTCATAAGCATATTTTCGTTTGACGTGGTCTCATTTGTTCTCTGTGGCTAACGCAGCTAACCTAGTCGGAGTTTGCCCCCAAATAATGGAGTCAAGTCCGCAGCTGAATCAAGCATTACTCGGTTGCTGGATTCACAATATTTTTTAAGTGGATTTTGAGGAGAAAATACATTGTTCAAGAATTCCAAATTAAAAAATGATATTTTGCTACTAAATAATATTCAGTAAGCAAGTTTACTCACGAGGGAGAGCTATTCGTAAAGCTCCACTGCCCGTGTTGAAGATCCACACAGCTTACTCTGAGGATTCTAGCCACCTGCACTCGCCTCCGGGGCGAGGGCAGGGAGGAGCCTAGGGATTTTATCACGAGGGTAGACGCACCAAAAGTTCAGAGCAAATTGCGCTATTTGACTGTCATTTAACCCATCTATTCACGCCAAGATCATAGCCAAAGCGCCATAGGGTGCATTCATAATGGGGCATTGCAAACTTGCGGCAGTATTGTACCATGCAGTGCACTGTGAATGTTAGATTTCTACAGCGAAGGCCAGGTGTCGACGCTAGAATGTGGTATGTCAAGTACATACCGGGTTTCTGGCCAACCACTGCATCAGGACTGATGTCCAGAAAGAAAATGGAATTGCGAGGTCAACAAAAGCTTGCACGTGTATCTTTTTCCAATGTGTAAGTACTCTCGTCTCCCTTGGTTGGGTGCCGCTGGGTTTAACTGATAAGAGAGTAACTGGCCTGGACCAATGATCAGGTAACCCCTTCTCAATCCAAAAGGCTACTGGCCGTTGTCCTTCTGAAGCGATGTCTGAGGAAGAAACAAGCTTTGCTCCTGTCAAAGATGGCCACCAAGTTTGATTTTCACTTTTCAATTTACCGTCTTCTAATCAACTGATGTCACAGCTTATTGAGCGCACAGTGGACCACTACGATCGCCAAGCGGGGGCAATCTCTCGCGGGCTGTACACAAGGAGTGAAGTCAGTCGGCAACGTCTCTCTGTTGAAGCAAGTACAAAGGCTGTTATGGGAGAAGCAAGAGCTCAGGCAAGTATTTTCGAGGCTGGTGCTTACGGACCAAACGTAGGCGCACACGCTCGAGCCGGTGTGGGCGGGGTCGGCGGCTTTCTAACTGCAGAGCTTGGGCGAGTTGAAGTCAAGACTGGTGTTGTTAACGTTGGGATGTGCCTCAACATCAACTCTGGAATACACGTTGGCGTGGACAACTTCAAGGTTAAGATCTTGGGGGTGACGGTCTATCGGTGATGACCCCTTTGGGGTTTGTTGGACTTGGCGCTGGTGACGACTGATATCTATTGGTGATCATCAAAACCTACAAATTTTAAACACATTCCCAGCTTACGAACGAAGCCCTACGATGCAAAAATCCATATCTTTCTTCGTCTTTTTTAGTTTTCATTACACCCAACCAATGCTCTCTATATACTCCGATTCATTAACACGTTATCCAACGTTTCGTCGGAGTCAATACTACCGATGTTTTCGCAAATATCGACCCACTTACTGAAGAGCGCTTTTGCAGCATCCTTCTCGCACTTGTAGCCCATAGAATAGCAAAAAGATTCCACCGACGTGACAAAGAAGACTGCTGAAGGGCCCAAGTGAGGAATCGGGTTGTACACGTGAAGGTTTTTCACTGCAAGCATGCTTTGGTTGCCATCCCTCGACGCCAGTCGGTGTTCCTTCGCGTATGGATACCGTCCGACATTCGAGATGTTGGCGTCTGAAGTCTGCGAGTGGTGGATTCTTACAGATTTCGCCAAAGATGGCTTCATCTGAGAATTGAGTTTCTGGTCCATGATAATAGTCATAGCGGCCATGGCTCTCGTGTTGAGAAGATTTCCGTCAATCTCACTCTTAGCTCGGCGTGCGAGATCCCAGAACCTCGTATTTTCCAAGTCAACTCCTTCGTTAGCGAGCCATCCTAGATCAGTGAAGGCTATGTAAGCCCCGACCTGATCTTCTTCAGCGGGACTAGGTATACGTTGCCTCATGTTGTAGTCGATGTCTGCCGCAATTTTGAACGGTTTTCCTAGTTCAAAGCCTGGTTGTTTCTTTGCTGAATAGTAGAACGCGAGGGTGATAGCAGCCACCAATGCTCCACCAAAGGTGACGCCCTCTTCCTTGCATTTCATAAGTGTCTTGCGCATGGCATCAGGATCTCCGTCCATGAAACAGGCTGAGGTCGGGTTCTTGATTGGAGGCACTTCGAAGTCATGCTGGTCATCTCGTGCGGTTAGACGAGGTTTGAATTTCTTCATTTCGCTGCGATAGATCACTTCTCCAAACACACTCATGACACCTTTTAGTAATTCTTTGAAGAGGAAACTCTTCGAAAACCACATTTCGTAGAACGAAGGGCGCATAGGATATTCTTGTACTGGTTTGTAGTCGACTTGGCTGTCTCTCTTTTGGGAGAGGACGGATACTTGTTCAAGGACGCTGTTGAGCACTGTCATACCCGAGCGACCGTCCGACATGTAGTGATCGGAGAAGAGCATGAGTCGAGCTTGTTCAACTTTATCGTCTATCCACACCACCAAGAAAAACGGGAACTGTGTGTACCGATCGAAGCCAACGTCGCATTCTTGTTCAGCGTAGTGCTGCCAGTTTTCGAAAGTATCTTTAGTACTTTCGGATTGAGTGAATTGTCGAATACGTAGGAGATCCTTGCGAGAAATGTCGTCGATGGACACTTTATCTTGGATCTCTGCCATGAAGTCGTCATTCTTAACTTGAAGTGCTCGCATACGCGGGTGCATGTTGAACGTTTGCATGAGTGCGACTGGTAGGAATTGGTATAGTATGGCAATGTCGCCAACTAGAAGCATCGAATGCACGATCTTCATGGAAACGCCGTCGACCATTGTGAGCATACGCTCGAGACCTCTCAGCCTCACTTGTCGTGGTTTAGTGTTATCCGGCATTATCGGATCCAGCACGTCAGCAGCTCTGAGCAAATTCGTAAATGGAAGGTCGGCGAGCACGACCTCATTGGCCCCGCGTGAAGTGATTCGACAAATCATGATAGTTGGTGCGAAGCAGTCATTAGCATAGACGTGATAGGGGGGGTCCAACTCCAAAGAGCGAAAGGATTCTTCAACGAACATCCCTCCACTTCTACAAGTTAGACTACTACAAGATGTCTGATAAATCGTAAGCCATTTGAGCAGTGTCGTATGCCTAGGAAGGCGTTGGGACTGCCGTAAGCCCCTCCCAATGGG